TGTCTGTTTTTAAATTACATCGAAGGAGGATGTCATCAGAAAGTTTAAGGTCAGATTTTAAAACTGTTCAGCTTCGTTTAGGAATAAGAGGTACTCCTGAGTGCTGAGCCCTTTAGAAAACAGTCTTTCCACTAGAGCAGGTCCCTAGGTGGGAAATGAACTCTTGAAAGTCTGGTCCTTCATGCCACATTTCCATGTGTTCCATTGGAACAACTAATCTGGAGCTTGCAGCAGCAGAAAATTTCCCTGCAATTTAATGTTCTAATTTTAAATGATTTCTAATAGGTTTGTTCCATCTCTTATTCATTACCTTATTTTGGGGTATACCATGGCCATTTAAAACACTGTAAGCTACTGTGATGTCTGAGAAGACAAAGCTGACTGTGTGAGGTAAGGTATCCCTTTGGCCAGCACTTGTCTCTGAATGCTTAGGAGTCAGACTGTGTTGAGCTGACTGGCTTAGATTTTTCTGTTCTGCATCCCTTGCCCAAAGCAGATGAGAATGACCCCTTTTGTTCTGCCTGTTATTATCAAACAGCTTTGGAAAATGAACACTGTTGAATGGAAAGAAAGCAGCAGATGACATTTCGTTTTCTGCATGAACTAGTGTATAGGATCTTTGTTTTTTCAGAAACACTTTTCAAGAAGATGTGCTAATATTATTGCTATATTGGTAATAGTTCTTTTACTCAAGCCAGAACGTACATGTGTTGTGGGAGTTGGGATGCATGTTTATATTAGTGAGCTCTTTCCTTGTAAAATCTTCTGAAATTTCCAAAAGAATGCGTGTGTATATTTTGAATAATTCTTTTCTATATTACTAGAACATTCTCTTCCTGGAGCATTTCCTAGAAGAAAAGAGATGATCATATTTTCAGAATAATGAATGCTAAAATACTTGTCTGTCTGTGCACTGAGATTGCACTTACTCTGCATAATTACATAAACAAAAGTGAATATTTATTACATGTCTTTTAACCCAGTTGTGAGTATGGTTTAGGGACTGCTGTCTTACTGAATATGATAGATGAGCACTGTTGCAGAGCCTGGGCTCTTTGCTTTAAGCTATGTGTCACCCTTTGTTAGGTCTGGAGGTCCAACAGTTCAAAACATAGCTATCACACATACAGATCGGGAAATCTTATCCTCTGACTTTGGAGCGTCTTAGTCATCCCCGCTGCAGTTTTCTACAGCTGACCAAAAAGCTTTTCTGCGTTATTGATGTGCCAGTGAGCTATGGAGGCTTCCAAACAAGTGACCTACGTTATGTCTGCAGGCAGTAACAGGAGAACTGTTTTGCAGAATGGGCTAGTTTTGAAAATCATTGCTTCTGCATACAGGGTTTTATGGACATTTTTACAGGTGATTGAGAATCTTTTGGGAGCCAAGAATTTCCACTGGATTTTCAAGTGAACCAGCAGCCTGACTAGGCAAATTCATATTCCCTAATTTTTGGACGTCCAGTTTTGATCCGTGTCAGTTAGGAGGCTACTCTTCATTTTTACAGTCACTGATGGCTCCTTTTGGAATGACTCAGAGCAGAAGACTGTAGTGTTATTGGAGTCGTTGTCACAGTGCCTCATGTATAGAAACCAGTGGATTCAGTTGGGTAGATAGATATGTTTCCAGAAATCTCTTCAGCTGAGCAAAGGATGCATCTGTTTTAGAGTTGGTATGTTTTTTTGGTAAGATTTTTAAAATTCACTGGAATGGTGCCTGAAAAGTCCACTTATTTCAGTTCCAGAAAAATAGCAATGACATGGGTTATCGTATGCCAGCCAGATACAGGTAGTTTCAAGATGTCAGATGCCAACATTGCAAGTGTGATGTTAGGAGATCTACTGCACGAAGAAAGTACTAATGGCTTCATGACCAGTTCATTTCAAGCTGAGTCCCTGGTGCTACTGAAAGTGGTTGTCCTTCCCTCTTTTGTCCCTGCATGTCCCTCTGTGCTTTTCCTCTGCGCTGGATCTAGTACTTGTGGGACCTCCTGCCAGATTGGTTCCTTGCTCGTGGGGAGGTGGCAAGGAACGTGCAGAGAGGGGTTGAAGGGGCAGACAGAGCTACCTCTTTCAACAGAGTCTCAGGCCATCTGAAGCTGATTGCGAGACCAGAACCTCAGACAAACTCCAAAACTTCTTACATGCCCTTTCTCATCTCTTAACCTCTGTTCAGCAGTGCACAGCCTGAACCAGCACAGCTAAATACAGAACCGTGGGAATCCTGTTTCCCAGTTAGAGACTGACCTCAACAGAGTCCCTGTATGGATATGCTGGAATTACTTGGCAGTGTAACTGTGCCTTCCTTAGAAGGACAGCGAGGGGAAATGATTTGAAGGCAGAAAAGCAACTTCTTCATGTTCCTACTGGTAGCCGTCAAACCCTGTGGGTTTGGCCCTGTGCCCTGGAACTGCCAATGGTGTTCCCTGGCAAAACAGAAAGCAAATCAGTGCGAGTGGGCTGGTTTGATGGTTAGACTAAACAGAGGTTTGTTACCAAGACCTTTCAGTTCAGTTCACTTTATTTTACATGCTGTTTGTTACGACATTGTTTTTATGGTTCTCTTCCCTTTGCTTGATGTTTGCCACCATTCTGCTACTCTTCGCAGCAGATATTTTAGCTAATAATACTAATAGTAATAGCTAATAAAACTAATAGTAAACCTCTTGTTAACTTCACTGGGGTGGAGAGCTGTTACTTGGAGATGTGTTGGCTCATGAATAAGTTCCTGTGGTGTAACATGCCCTTGTGCATCAGGAGAGCTGTTGTAACTCTCTGGATGGACAGGGATCTTGTCGAAGGCTTTTGACGCTGTGGATTGGCAATCCGTATCTACATGCTGGTTCAGTTCTCCAAAGAATACTAGTACGCTGAAAGGCATGAATTCTGCAAATAAAGGTTGGTCCTTCCCCAATAGATCTTATTTATTTGTGTCTACTAATTCTATTTGCCAACTCTGTAAGACTGAGCCTTATTATACTTTTGTTCCTGTCTTTTAAATAATGGCTCTCATTTATTACCATTTGTTGCCTGTTGTTCCTTCAATACTTAGGCTCGCTTGAGTGATAGATCACTAACTGCAGCTAATAAAGCAATAGCTTTGAGTCTGTGTTCAAAGCCTTGGTGAAAGCCATCTAGTTTGTATGTAGTGTTAGTTTAGATTTTGTCCGTTTGTGGAAGAAGCCTCTTTTATAAATGCCTCTGTTTGAGATCACTCCTCAGAGCTGACCATGCAAAACTAGCAGAAATGCAGAAGTCACTCCAGGCATATCCATAATGAGGACAAATGTGAAAAAACAAAGCCTTGGAAGTTTCTCCTGTTTTAAGAAGGAAGTTATTTGTTTCATAAGTAGTTCAGCAAACTGGTCAGTGACAACGGCAGATATCATGAGTGTATTGAATAGTGTATGTTTCTGAATAAAGCTGTATTTTAAGTTTTGCGTAAGGCTCTGAGGCCTCTGAAGTGCAGCATTTCCTGTTGCAAAGAGATGAAGTATTGGTAGCAAGGTATTATTGTACAGAAGTTCTATTTTGTTGATAATAAACTTGTGAAAATAATTGGAAGTAGCAGGTCTCTACGCTCTGTGCACAGCTGTCGTTTGAAGAGGTTCTTTAATGTAGTTGGAATGTATGTGTAATCTTTTGACCTTAGTTCTTAGTTTTTGATGACTACGGCATGTTAAGTGCTGATAATTGAGTTTGCCCTCGGCTGAAACCTGACCTGCTCTCTGCAAAAGAGAAGGTCGGATCTTCTATTGAAAGAGGTGTTCAAAGGGGCTGCCTTAATAATTGCCAAGCCATGCTTGGTAAGAGTAAAAATCTCTAAAATCTGGAGATTTCTTATGAAGGGCATGCTGTTCTAAGGAATTATTTTCTTTCTACTTAGTTTGAATTGGACTTTTCATCTGATGGCTTTTGTCCTGTGCTCTAATTTGATTTTTTTTGTGTGTGCGCGCCATCTGGCTTGACTTTCTGCCTTGTAACTCAAGCTGCCCTACTGTGAGAGCTGCCTTGTAGCTTCATCTCATGGAACATGACTCTTAAGGTATAAGACCATGAGACACATGCTTTTCTCTCTGTTCTAGGAAGGAGATTAATCTCTCCTAGTTTAAGGCATCTGCAAATGGCCTCTAATCCAAAATAGTTTTTAGCTTCCTTATCTAGTCAGTGGAGAGACATACAGAGAAATCTTCAGAGATTTATTGCATCCAGATATCAGCGTTCAAAATAGATGGGATTAATTGTCCTGTGGAGATATCTGTTCTCTTTCCATTGACTAGAGAAGCCTAAAAATTAACTTTGTCTCACTGTCAAACTTTTAGAAGGCTAAATTTAGAGCAAATTAATCCTACCCTTAGTTCCAGAAAGTACTGACTGACTTTTGTAAGTTCTGCGTGCTGTCTGTCCGACATAGTATCTACCAGTCCCTGCTCACTTCACCTTAAAGGTGCTGTAGACTTCATACCGTATCTCCTTTGGGGCATATGAGAGTGTTCTGATAAGCTAATACCTTTGTGCAGCACTCAAAAACTGCAGCAGTCACTGGCTAGGGAGTGGAACCAAATAAACCTTTTCAAACCCATCCAAAGGGATCAGTGCAGTGGTTCAGCCTACACTCTGTTTCTCAAGCCCTTCTTCTTCTGTCTGTCTGTAAAAGTCTTGCTGGAATGACCATTCTTTCTTGTTTTAAGCTTTCTGTGGGGGAGGAGTAAAACAGTTAAAAACAAATGTGATAGGTAGTTTTCACAGTACAGCGTTGTTAGCACTGCTCCTCCCGTTCCCACTGGGTTCCTTTATAGTTCTTAAGAATACAAAATGTGAGTACAGTTAGAGTACATCAGACCAAAAGTTCATCCAGTGACTGTAACAGATGCCTACGTACCTTTCGCTGATGCTTTCCCAGCCTCCCGTCTATTTTCAGTTTATGGGACTTTCTGAGCCGTAAATCTTTCTTGTTAAATGCAGAATTGCAGCTGACTTTCTTGTCTGTTATGTTTTTAGAACTAAAAAAACAAAGAAGGTATCTGCTTCACTAGCCAAGAAAGAGAAGCCCAAATTAACCATTTTTGAAGAGGAAGTCGATCCAGAGGAAGGACTGTTTGGTCCAGAAAAAGATTTCTCATCACTTGGTCCCAGGAAGAAGATGAAAGAAAGTAAGCCTGTTCTCCATTTGTTTATATTCACAGATTGTTTTCTCTAAAGCATGTCTATAACTGAGCTTTTAAAATGTAATGATACAAGTTGGATGATGACTTGGGAATGTTAAGACAAATCTTTTACTGGGACAGAATCATCTAGAGGGAATAAATATGACCTGCACTTCCTATAGCTGTCCACTATTGAAATTTTGGGCTTAGATATTCTAGATCTGTGGGAGCTGGCCGTCCCACAGTCACTCATGACACTTCAACAAGAGTAATGTGACCTACTTTTGAGTGCAAGAAGGAAGCAGATTTACCAAGTCCTAAGAATGCAGTGTATCAGTGATGTGTTTCATGGCACTTTGTGGATTGGGAGTCCTTGCGTAAAAAGAATTTTCTACACGACCTTTTTTTTGCACCCCATCACCAGATTTTTTAGCTAGTGTTAATGCAGGTACTGTGTTATGTAGCATTATTTGACTATAGCTTCTTCTCATTCCCCTTTCTAGATCTGAAGTTATTTGAAGACCCAGACCTTGGTGGGGTGGTAAAACTGGGTGACTCACTACTGTTACCGGCCGCCGTTGAGAGCAGGGAGTTTGTGCTGAACAGGAGTCCCGAGGATGACGCTGAGGAACTGCTGAGGTACTCATCTCAAATCTGTCCTGTAGGATGAAGGTCACTTGAGGAGGGAGTTGTTTAGATCTGAAAACAGATGAATTTGAGGGCAAAGCTTAAATACTGTTGAATGCTAACTCTGGATCAGTACTTGTACTTACAAAGAACAGAGAAGATCTGTGTCATGAAGCTTGGCAATCAAGCACATTAAAAGGGAAAATTAGCAGGACCCTTTGTGAAGGGTAGGGTGCAGAATGTTATCCTGTAAGTCCAGGTGAAGGGTCTTGTACGCCCGAGACATGCCATCCAGTCCCAGGTGTTTAAAAGTCCCACTTTTGCTCTCTGCAAGTGATCTACAGGATGGTAGAGACTCACCTTCATTGTGAAAAGTGAGAAACTGAGGAGGGGCTGACAAAGTCCAGAAACAAAGACAAGTTCTATACTAATGCTCTGAAATGAGGAGTTTTTCGCTTTTGCCACTAGAGGAATGATTTTCTGCTGATGGCTTACAGATCTTCGTGCCCGCTTCCAGCAGGATTGCAGTGCATACGTCCACAGTCATAAAGGACTCGCATTAAAATCTCCATCACCCTGCATTTAATCTTTAATACAATGAATGGCAGGGCTGGAGCTCACAGTTTTAGGAGGGAATAATGTACTTGTTGTCAGACTTAACCTGCCCCCTTGTTACTGTAGGTCTGGAACATATCATTGCATGTTTTGTTCCCGATATCACTCTCACAAGACTAGCTTGCGTGCACTGATAACGCTCATGAGATCAGATAGGGAGCCAGTACTCAGAGATCAGAATCACCAGGGAATCTGTGCTGCAGTGAAGGTCAGACTCGCACCTTCTGCATCTCAGACTGACATCTGAAAGATTAAGCCAACTTGTTTTAAGTGCTAATTCTTGCCAGACAACTCCTATTAGGATGCATGACTTTTAGCAACTGGTGCTGAACACAAGAGAGAGAATCTGTGTCTGGATTCCTCTTTTGAAGCAGGTAGTTTTGCAGCTATTGCTTTCTACCTGTGCGGAGGTGCTAACCTATCTCAGGAGTGATACCTGATGTAATTTAAACAGAGCTTAAACTGGATTAGATGCCCCCTCCCATTACAACCTGACAGCCTCATGATATTTGTAAAAACCAGTGGTACATGACTTGATTTAGTGCTGTGGGAGCAAACATATATGTGCTTGCAGTATTTTCATGACCACTTTCTTCTGGCCTAGTAATCTCAGCATAAAGTGCTTGACCCAGATTGTTTATATGGCTAGAAAAGAAGTGCCTCTTTGAAATGCCTATTTGCATTATTATTCACCAGTGGAGAGAGCTTCTCCATCTGTCATGTTATTGTCGTTTGTATTATAGGATTTCCCTTCCTTCATTGCAGAGAAAGGTCTCTGAAGTCTTCTCTGAGACCAACAGACCATGCCTTCTGGTTAGTTTTGGGTCAGCAGTGTCAGCAGCACACCGAGATGGTAATGGAAAGCCATAGGAAAAGATTCCACTTCCTTTAAATTACAGTCATTTTCATTTCTTCTTGACTTGTCCCAATGCTTTCAGCAGTTGGCAAACGATCAAGATCCAAGTGGAGAAGAATATGTGTAACAAAGCAGAAAATCATGCCTGCAGTCCAATGGGAAAGTTGCTGTGGGATTCCAGAGCCAACTCATCGCTATGCCAGAGGTATAGGCAGATAGGTCAGGATCTGTCCAGTTGTGAAGGTGCCTAAGACCCTTTGAAATCCCTATAATAAACCTAGCCCACAGCTGCACATCTCTGAGAGCAGATAGACTGAATTGCAAGCAGACTGGGAGTACAGGAAAAGCTGTGAAAAGGGAGGAAGGGAAGAAAGAGTTCTGCTTTAACCTAGTAGAATGCTTCACCTCGCCTTTAGGTAAATTCATTGCAGTCATCTGGGACTGTCAGGTCTCATAGATATAGAGGCAACCTCTGAATCAGCTCCCACCTTCCCTCATCAGCAGGCTGGTATTGCATGTACTTGCGTGGCAGTGCCATAGTCACTTTCCCAGGCAGTGACCCTTTGTGGGGAGAAGAGCATGAGTTCATCCTCACTATCTGTCTGGCACAGGCGCTTAAGCAGATCTGGAGGTCTGAGAGTAAATCTAGCCTTTGCTATGTAGATGTCACAGTCCCTCTCGTCTCTCAAAGGGACTGAAGAACTCTCTCGCCAGCTCTCAGATCAACGTGGGAGCTGTGACAGCCCACTCTTCAGTGGGCTAGAGCTGGGTAGGCTTCTAGAGTAGGCTAGCAAATGCCTTGGTCCCTGTTTTACCACACAGAAAATTTACCTGTAGACATATTGTTGAGACTCACTACCAGCCCGAGCTATTATGTGCCAGCAGGAGTGTGGTAGGTCCAGAAATCTTAGATGAGTTCACTGTACATCATATATGGATTAGGTGAATAATGCAGATGTGGTAACTCTTGATGTATGTAGCATACATCAGCACTACTGCAGGTACCATGCAGTCTGCTCACATGCATGTGGTAGATCTGAGAAGTGTGTGACTTGCTGAAAACTGTACTACACAGAGCATCTCCCCAGATATTCTTTCCAGTGAATCACGAGCAGAGAGAGAGGAGCACTGCATAAGACAGTGATGGGTGGCACCTTCTCCAGGCAAAGGAGAGATAGGAACAAGGTGACGGTCAGAGGAGAGTGAAGAAGCAACCAAGTCCTTTGTGATCTTTGTGGTAACCAAGCAGTTACAGCAGCAGTAGCACCACAGCGTTGTTGGCACAGCAGTGAATCCCCTGCAGTGACTTGTAGCTCTGGAGGAAGAGATTGTTATGGAGACAAATGAGCCTGCAAAACGTGCGTGGGCTGTGCATGTCACAACATGAGGGAGAAGAAAATATGATAAATGCTCTCATTGCAAACTGTGAAGACTATGTTCTCCCTGGATGCCTGCTCAAATGAAATAAGAATTGCTATTTTAATGCGCTTCACATTAGCAAGTGTTCAACTTTAAGAAGGACCAAATGCTTTATCAGAGTAACATAATGTTTCTTTTTATGGCAAAACACCCATGTCTGCTCAAACAAGTATCTTTCCACTGCCTGTCCATTGACCAGCCTCTTACTGGTTCCTAATTTCTTGGCCTATGGCCAAAATCTAGTAGTGGTGATGGAGAAACTAGGTGAGCTACCTCTCTCTGACCTCTGGCATTGTAGCTCTAGGCACTTTTTCCTATCCCTTGGTCTGCCAAAATACTTCAGTGAGGTGCCTGTAGAGGATTGTACGTGCATGTTCTTACTGAGTGTGTGGAAAAGAGACATATTGCTGTGGTAGGAGCCAGCCAGATCAAGTCCCCTCATGTTGCCTTCAGGAAGAAGGAGCATCTGCCTTCGATGGGATATACTCTGAGAACGGGAATGATAGGTAGGCTGGTCTTTTGGCTAATCTCTTCACCATAGGGATACCAAGGAGGAACCCAGGCTTCTGGAAATCCTGGGTCCCATTGCGTTCTGCTCTTCAGAGGTGCAAGGTGGCTCATTGAAGTGAAATTTAAAAAGGCAACTGATCAACACCTTTCCCAGAAGTTAAAGGAATTGTCATTTTCTGGTCTGGTGCCACATCTGTAATGGTTCACTCTGGACCCTTTCCACCTTTTACCTCCACTCTTGCAACTCCACTTTGGCTCTGAGTTCCATTTTAGGCTAGTGATAGGAGTCAAATGCTGCTGAAGTCAGTGCCCTGCGAACTCTCCCGTTCTAGACTCTCATGTCATCTTACTGCCTTGTCTCCATCCACCCAGTGGCCACAGATTTGCAAATTAAGTTTTCCTGCAGTGGGACTGCAGTTGACCTCTTCTGCCTCATTAATCTGAATCATGCCTGCCTGGTGTGATGGATCAAGCTTTTGTGGAAAAGCAATGCTAGAATTGATCCTGTGAATGTCACAGCGGGTCTGTGGGCCCACAGAATTACAGAAATTATCACGCATCCTAGGCTGAAATAATTACCTTGGTTGTATGAGTAGCCTTTCAGGAGAGATTTAATTAGTTTCACCTTTGATAATGAATAGGGAGTTGAGATAGAAGGAAGCAGCTGGCAGCATAAGATTTGTCTTTTTTCAATGCTGAGAAGAAGTGTCAGCAGCAGGGTCTCAGTTGTGCTGCACTATGATGATAGACCTGGTATTTTCTTACTAAGGCTTACTCTGATCTATGACAGAGTTGTGCTGCTCTCATTGAAAGGGACAGTCCAGCTTTTACCTCTCTGCTGCTGCCTCCTCCTGTCTATCCCCTTGCAAGATGAATTGTACCTGTATTTACAAGCTGATAAATATTTACAGTTGTGAGCTGTGCCATCAGTGATGCCAGTGATGACCCTTTCAGCAGCATTATGTTAGAGAGGCTGAAGCCATTCGTGAAACTGCATCCTAACAAGGGGCATTTGTAAGCACTCTTCAGTCCATACAGCTTCCTGAGGGGTTTGCTAGTTTCAAGTTTGCCAAGAGACCATTGCCACCTTTGAAGTGGAGAAAGTTCGTATGTTCTTCATTCAGCAGGCCGCTAGTGGCTGCCAAATTTAGAGAGCAACACTTCCATCTTCAGACTAGTTGAATGGGACAGCACCTCCAGCCCTACGTGCTGGGAGGTGCTTTCTCACTGTCCTGAGTGCGCTAGAGCAGCACCAAGGGTAGGGAAGGAGGTTTGAGAAACTCCAGAGGGTTTTTTGGAGGATGGGCAGGTGGACTGCTGAGAAGGCTGGAAAAACTGAGTCAGGAATTTCCTGACCACTCCCGGGCAGCTTCTCTTGCTTGTTGAGACCTGACTGTGGGGAAGGAGCCTTGATTTGACCGCTGTAGCTTTCACTAAATGACTAGCTATTCTTCCTCTGTTTAACTGGGGTGGGTTTTTTTTTTTGTTTCTTTGTTTTTGTTTTGCTGCCCAAGAGGACTTTCCTTGATGTTCTTCAAGCGTTTATTTGGTTCATTTTGTTTTTCCTGTGATATATAGGGATGCTGTTACAAGCACCTGAAGAGTTACAAAGTAAACATGGCTAAGGCTTTTGCTAGGAAGATGAGAAACACAAATTCTTGCCCTGGTCTTAGGAAGATGTGTGGGTTGTATGGGAATATTGCAGGGAGGTTACCTAGAGTCTTTGTCTTTCCTGTCCTAGTGAGGGATCCTTTTGCTAGGCTTGAGCGTTATCAGATTTCAGCCTCCTTGCCCCAATTTGTAGCATTTTGGACAGCCAAAACTCTCATCTTCTGCCTGCTCCCCCCTGCCCCGACTATGCCACTGCCTGGTGACTAGGGAACTCTGCGAGGAAGTACAGGACAGCGTTTTGAACGTACTCAGGCTGGGGAAGTGCTCCAGCCAGGAGGCGGTTATCCTCAGAGGGCTTCTTGTGGGCATATATGCACCTCGGACTCATCCGTACTGACGAACGTGCTCTCTGGCTCTCGGGCTAAACAACACCATCAGGCTGCATCCATGCTGTTAAACTCTCTTTGGCTCCAGAACAAGGTGGCTGTACCCCGCTGCCTGCTGCAAATGGTCTCTGTCCCATGTGAGCTCCTGAGTTGTGCCTGGGAGTTTTTTGGCAGAGGGCTATTCTGACCCGGACCAAAATTGTGCCAGGGGTTCTTCTAAACAGTTCAGCAATACAGACTCTCATCTTTCAGTGTCCAGACATATTTCCTGGCACTGTCTAAAGTACCAGTATGAATTTATCCAAAATGGATTGTAGGGGAAATCAGGGGCAGCAGGGGAGATACCCTGTGCTTTGCGCTCCCATACAGGCTCCAGCCTGTATAATTTCCATAGACCCTCGTTAGAAGCCTAGCTGTTTTTGTTGACCATTCCGCAAGTAATGGCCAACAGATACTTTGCAGAGCCTGCTATGCATTTTTAGGCGCATTACTTTTCCCAAGCCATATATGTGATATTACAGCTGTACCCAGCACTTCACTAAGGTGTATCTTGCTCTTGGAATCAATGCCAGACAAAATAAATGGTAATAAGGTAGGGAA